GTAATTCACTGCATTTTTAAATATTTTCAAACAATTCTTTTACTTCTTCAAACAGCTCTCACCATTACTGGTTAGGATGGCTCCAACGGCTGCAAAGGTAAGACGCTTCCAAGCGGCGCAGCTTTTTTAATTCCCAAACAATTGATAAATGATAAATTTTTTAATGGCATTTTAAGCGATTATAAAAAATTGCAAAAACTATGTTATATAATTGAAAAGTAATTAATAATTAATAGAAGGAGAGACGAAAAAATTTTTTTCAATTTATTAAAATTCAAAAAATAAATTGAAAATACCTGAAAAATTCGTTTATTATTAATTTTACTAATTGATTAATGAACTTTTCATGCGAAAGCAAATAAAGCTAATATAAAAAAATTGCTAAAAGTTCTAATCAGTTTATTTGAGTTAGTTGTAGCTATAGCTGAGGACGTATTTTATTTATTTTTTTAGTCTTATTTCTTTCTTATTTTTTATTCTCTCTGCAAATATTGATGCGCCAAATTTCTTCAGAGCAGTGGTCAATCATCAACCATCCGCACCGCAAGAAGGAGGTGCAGCATTTCCAGCTGTGCAACACCGAATCATCGATCCACACCGGATTGCTGAAAATCAGAATCGTTTTTTTTCAGTATATAATATCGAGTATAAACTAATTCAGCAAAATTCAAATATGAGGAAGAAATACACTAATTTTTACGATAAATTTTATCACCATTTTTTGTTCTTCCGAATCTTATTGATTAATCTTAGTGATTCGTGTTGAATTTGGAAAAATTTACGAAATTATTTGGTTAATTAAAGATTTAAATAAAATTTATTTTTGTAATATTTATTTATTTATTCATTTATTTATTAAACAATTATATAACGAAAGGAACGCCATTCGAATTTATTGTTCGATAAGTCCAATAAGCGATAAATTAAATGAATGAATTGATGTGAAAACGATAAAAAAAAAACTAATGATAATTACATATAAATTAACTTAAATTATTGAAGATTCTTCATTTTTTAAGTGTAAACAATAAAATATTTGCAATTTAAAAAATGCGTGCAAAGCATATTTATAATATATATTTATAATATATATAACATATATGAGTTCAAATTATATCGAACGGCTCTCTGAAATTATTTTATCAGTGGTTGAACATGCTGATTATCTGCAATTAAGAGAATTATCAGAAAATAAATTTTTGCCATTCCACACATTTTGCCACATATCTAAATATACAATAAAACATAAAAAATATCCGATAAAAAAGAAGGTATCAAAAAATATTAATTTTTGATTTTTTCATAATCGTAGGGAAGGTGGAAATATAAAATCGTTTGTTGTAAATCATTTATTAGTATTTTTGAGGAGGAAGAAAGAATAGGAAAAAAATTGACGATCTAAAAAATGCAAATCGAAGGAAAAATAACTTTTCAACTTGAAAATATTAATATTATTATTATTCCTCGAAGTATTATTTATTATTTAAAAGTATTTTAGCTTCACATCATCTCATTTTTATTTTATTTATATACATTTATTTTATTTGAGTAGTTGAAAAATACATTCGAATTTAAAAGAATATAAGTGGAATCCACAAAATCTAACTCGCGGAAAAGTTTCAGTTATAGTTAATAATTTGAAAAAAATTTTAAAATTATTTGTAATATTTGGATATTATTTTTTAATTTTAATATGAAAATTATTGAATGAATCTCCGACACTGATAGGAAAATTTGCTTGTAAATTTTTGCTTATAAAAATTTGCTTTCTATGATAATATTATAATTATTATAAGTATTATAATAAATATTATAATACATTCTAAATATTATTTCGAAATAAAATAAAATATTTATTTTGAAATAAAACAAAAAAAATAGTTCATAAGTAATGGAAAAGACTTTCGAGTGTCGGTACGAATCAGTTCGCAGATGAGCAAATATGCTTAATGGCAAACATAGTCGAAAGGTGATTTTATCAAAGCAGTTTCCAAAAAAAGTAGATAAAAAAGCAATACGCCAATATTTCATTGTAAAATATTATTCCCCGAAATGTTGTTGTATTTTTGTTTCTTCGTTTTTCTCGTCCATGGCGTAAAAAGTGGTGACGACAAGGCGATAGAAAACTGCAATATACAAGTGGGAGGTCATCAGCGACCAATTGTCGATCCAAGTCGTTGTGCACACATCGATTCACCTGCTTGTACTGCAATATTTCCATACCATCCCGCTAACCGTGCTGGTGAGACGATTGCAACACACTTCAATCCGTAAAAATTTATTCTCATATATTCCAATCCCATCTTAATTGTACTGTATATCACTTGAAAAATAACCCACAATATATTATAAGTAATTTACCTTATTAATATTTTTTGATCATTTAGAGCCATGGATTACAAGATACCCGACGCATGTACACAACCTGCCCTCAAAGATTTTGCAGAAAAGAATTGTCCAAGTCATTGTGCTTTCTGCTGCAAAGCAAAACAATTCAACTGTGCTAACGGTGAAAAATTTTTTGAATTTTGAATAATTGAATACGTTTATGATTATAAATTTTTATTAATAATTTAGGACATAAAAAGAAAAAAATGCTATTTATTGCAGATCCGTCAGCGGGGAACCACTGTGATGCTTTTACATTGGAAATGTGCAGAAATGCGGATCTCATTACAATAGCATTAATGAGATGCCCAATGAGATGCGGGCTTTGTGACCGACCAGGAGCAGGTGGCATCTGCCCAAACACACTTGACGATGCAGTTTGCACAGCGCTGGTAGCGGTGATTTGCCTCGATGAGAAAGCGAAGAATTCTTGTCAAAAAACATGCGGGCTAAGAACTTGTCTACGTAAGTTTATAACCCGCAAATTTTTATTTCTGCTTGGTGAACCAAATGTTGCAGTGAAAAAGTAGTGATTAAATGAACTGATTATTTGAATACCCTTTAGAGCAACTGAACTTAACAATAAATTGTTGCTGACGATTTAACATTTCAGAAAATCAAAATGCAACAGCAGCACAATCAAACTGTCGCGACGACGACCAGCAATGTTCAGAAAATAGAAAATACTGCACAACAGAACCTTATGCAACTGTAATGAGAAGTAAATGCCGTTTAACTTGTGGTCATTGTCAACCATAAAAAAGCTTTCGTATATCGAATTGTCTCGTCCGACTTTGATTTTGATTGAAAATGGGAAAAATTTCCTAAATATTAATTAAAAAATTAAATTTTTCTTCTATTATATTGCTCCGATATCATTATCCGAGAAAATCCTTATCAATTAGTTTTCTGGTTCTTTGCGAAATGATATCCATGAATTGCAAAATAAAATCTTTAAAGTATTCTAATATATTAACGAGAAATTTGGTTTACGAGTCTCAACCATTTTTTCCCATTTCTTCCAAATTAGTATATATTTACCTATCGCTTTAAAAGGCTAAATAATTCGTCTTGTCCATCTTTCTTCCATCTTTGGTTCTCAAGCTCAACCAAAAATCAACATTGTTCTATTTATATCTGTTTATATATCTTTTAAAATGAAATATGTAGAGGAATACAAAATGAAGCACATTAAGATGGATGATAATAAAGGTTTTAATTTGGAGCCAAGGTAATAAAGGAAGGAAAAGGAAAAAGAAATAAAATATTTATTCAAAAACAATAATACAATGTAAGAAACGCCATGTGAACTACGGTTCGATTAGCCTTTCTTGTCCTCAAATCGACAAAAATTGGACGAAACTCTTTTCCTCTCGCATACCAGGCGCTGATAAGAATGCGTTCACATAAATTCGTCAATCTTGAAGAAATATCGAATTATAAGTATATCGAATCTATACATAATCCTTATGTTGGTAGGCTAAACACTTCAGAGGTATAAAACTTCCATCTGGTGAAACCTCACTGGACTAGCAGTGAAATATGCCTGTAGTGCGCACAATTTTGCTAGAAATCTGCAAAACATGGCCAGTGAGAGTGAAGAGAGAAATCTGGTTTTGAAAACTGACTCTTGCCTAAGACATATCCATACTCGCTACGTGGACAAAGTGTCATCCACCTTCAATTAAATATGTCGTCTATGCCGCTATTGCCATGTTCTTCGTCACCCACCAGAGAAATTCACATATATGTCGTTATTTCAAATCAAATGGCAAGCTAAAAAGTAAAACCACGTAAAAGTAGAAACTTCTTATCTCTTCACCAACATTTGTTTAGCGTTCAGCGTGATTTGTACCACTCTTTCCTTGTTCAAATTTTTTTACATTGAATTTTTACAAAATCCATTGAGTATTTTACATTTCCGGAAAAAAGAAATTCATTCGCTCCTTGATATTTGAAAATATCGCATTTTTGTGATTTTACCAAATAAAATTTTTATGTATATAAAATATGCGTAAAATATATATTTTCAAGTGAGCGTATAATTTTTTCAAATAGAATTTGCTTATCAGCGAGATTAAACTTTTCACCTCAACTAAATTTATCATATTTTCCTTTTTTTTCAAATTTTAAGTTATTTTCTGGAGTGAGTTTGCTGATTGATTTACTATTCAGCAAGGCTTATCTTAACATATTCCAAAAATTTTATTCTATTAGCTCATATGAATGCCTTCATCGATTTGTAAGAGAAGCTATCTTCGCCAAGGAACCATCCATGGACAGAAAGAATAAGAGATAGCCAGCATCACTCGCTTATGAACGATAAGACGGCTCTTTCTCTGATAATGAAAAGAAAATAGAGAAGCTGAATTTTTCACGTTGGAGGCGATGTTAATTAATATAATCAATTTGAAAATGAATGGAAAAAAAATGGTTTGGTGAGAAATGAAAATTAATAGATAATTCTGCGTACGAATGGACAATTGCAGATGAACAAATATTTTTGCATAATGGATTTCGTTACGATATTTTATTCATATACCTTCCATAAAAATAGGAACAAAAACATTTGCGATGCACAAGTATTTTAATCTGAAATTTTTTTTCCCGAAATGTTGTTGTATTTTTGTTTCTTCGTTTTTCTCGTCCATGGCGTAAAAAGTGGTAACGACAAGGCGATAGAAAACTGCAATAGGGAAGTGGGAGGACAGCAGCCAACCGTCGATCCAAGTCGTTGTGCACACATCGATTCACCTGCTTGTACTGCAATATTTCCATATCATCCCGCTGAAAAGAAAATAGAGAAGCTGAATTTTTCACGTTGGAGGTGCTGGTGAGACAATTGCGATACTTCAATCCGTAAGAATTTGTATTTGTAACTATTAATATATTTCAGTACAACATGAACTTTATTATGCGAAAAAAACTTTAAGAATGCATAATAAATAATATTTCTAAGTAATTTAGAAACGACGATCAAAAAATACCGAAAAATGAACACTGATCTTAAAGATTTCGCGGAAAAGAATTGTGCATTCTGCTGTAAAGCAAAGCATTTCAACTGTGCTAATGGTGAACAAATTTTTTAAACCGTTTTAAGATTATAAATTTTTATTATTTCAGCGATGAAAAGAAAATATTTCCTTTATTCATTGCAGATCCATCGGCAGGCGATCACTGTGATGCTTTTACACTGGAGATGTGCAGAAATGCGGCTCTCAATACAATAGCATTAATGAGATGCCCAATGAGATGCGGGCTTTGTGACCAGGCGGAATGCCCAAACACATTTGACGATGCAGTTTGTACAGCACTAGCGCCTCGATGAGAAAGCGAAGAATTCTTGTCAAAAACATGCGGGCTAAGAATTTGCCTAGGTAAACTTCATTTAACTTAGGAGTGATTTTCGCCGATGGACCAAATCTGCTATTTAAAAAATCCGTAAGAGAGTAAAAAATTGCTGCTAAGGATTTAGCATTTCAGAAAATCAAAATGCAACAGCAGCACAATCAAACTGTCGCGACGGCGACCAGCGATGTTCAGAAAATAGAAAATACTGCAAAATAAAACCTTATGCAACTGTAATCAGAAATAAATGCCGTTCAACTTGTGGCCATTGTCAACCATAAAGAAACGGCAAAATTCTCAAAATAAAACTTGATTCGTGTTAAATTGGGAAAAATTTTCAAAATTGATTTATTAATAAAAAATTTAAATAAAACTCTTCCTTTTGCAATATATAATTTGAATTATTGGGAATCTTTTTACTGCATCGATTAGTTCCCTATTTGGCTTCTTTTCGAAATAATATCCAAGAATCGCAAATTTATAGAATTTATAGATTCGTTATTTCAAATTACTGAAGGGAAATGTTAGTTTCTCTTGAATTCTGTGGACCTCAACCATTTTTGTCCATTTCTTTCCGAAGTTTCATTGTAGGGGAAAATGAAACTCTACGAGCCAGCAAAGGTAAAAAGCGAAAAATATAGAAAAGAAATATCGTTTAAAGCAAAAGTTAACATTTGATATCACTCATCAGTTCTTATAAGATTTACTCCACTAGTTATAGAAAATAGGTCTCTAGTATGACCTGAATTGCTCCTTTCTGGCCAAATAGCCAAGCTGATAGCACTAAGCACTAGTCTAAGTAATAATATTCAGCAATACTGCCGCTAATTATGTCGTAAAAATTTTAAATAAAATTTTGACTTTTAAATTTCTTAAATCTTTCATTAATTTATTTCCTAATTTGAATTTACTGGACAAAAAATATGAAAAAGATAAAATTTTGAAAAGGTAATTTCCATAAATTAGTTGTCATTTTAAATACAGCGAATTTAGCTTTGATTGTAAGAAATCCTTTTTTTTAACAAACTTTTCACCATATTTTCTGACGAATTGGACAATTTGATCTCAATATTTAAGGCTAGTTAAGACTTCAGATATGGGTTCGGATCGAGCTTGTGNGCTGCTTTACCTTTTAGCTTGCTGAACTAATGCAACGATCATTTTCTTCGGCTACTATATTATGAACCGAAAAAGAATAAAAATGACTGAAAGAAAATTGACATGTTTTTATTCAAATATATTCAATGTACCAGATTTAATAAATGTTCCACGTAAAAATAAAGAATCTTCAAATTTATGAAATCAAACTGCTTCGTAATAAATTATTATAAACTAGCAAAATTGGATAAGCAAGATTTGATTGGTCAAAACGAAGTCAATAAAGCCGATTTCATATTCTTTCTTTTATCATTTATCATTCATTTATCACGTGAAAAAGCCGTTTATTTATCACCACACATCTTATTTTTATAATTTGTTGCCTATTAAAATTTTTTAATAACATAAAACATAAAATTAACAATTTTTTGTTCTTTGATTGATTTATTAACCTCATTGTTTTAAATTGTATCCCTCCTTCGCATATATCTCATTAGACCAAATATGGTTTTTTGTGATAATTTAATAATTGAGATCTTAAATTTTTTGGATTTTTTTAGTAATTAGAATAGATTCAATCTCATCATAAGTTCAATAAATAAGTTCAATAATGCAGAAATTAATAAAACTTCAAAAAAAAAGGTTTATGATTTTTTTAGAAAAGCAAAATAGTAATTGGAATTTCAACATTTTAAAATTTTTTTACAACTGACTTTGGGTAATCGGGATGAATGAGTAGCGCATCGAATTTGCAGTGGTTCTTTTCCTATATAAGCCAATTATCTGAAATTCATCAAAATAATTAGTGATATTATGTATTTTTGGTTGGAAGTGTTGTGAATTTAACTATGAAACAAGTTAGCTAAAGGAAACCGAGGTCTATTTATTCCTTTTCCTTAAATTAATTTAACAATTAAATTAATTATTAAATTTAATTAATTAAACAAGGACGAGTTCATACAATAGAAACAAAATTATGCAATAGCGAAAATCTAGTACCAGATCGAATTTCTAAACTTATTCGTATGAAAAGCTCGATCAAGAACAATTTTTAAATTTTCTGTAGGCATAGGAACAGCAGGATGCGCCTTAATCAAAAGGGATTTAGACCAGGATTCGGTTATGCTGACCAGATATTAGCGTTAGGGTGTTGAAACCTCGCTTCTAATATCTCCAACTTATCACTGCATGTACTTCGCATTTAATTCAATTGATGTAATTGCGTTTTGCAAGGTGATGGAACGTAACAGTGTTCCAGAGAAGATCATTCGACTCATACGTATTTTATCAGCTTATCGTTACAGATCACTCCTACCTAAGATATATTCTATATATATTCTAAGTGGTCTCACACGATTGCATTCATTTTCGATTGAATACCAGAGAGCGTTATATAAACTTCCAATACGTTAAATTGTTGACTTAAAAGCAAAAATCCTCGTTCTATTCCATCCGATATAATTATTATCTCCACTGATGTTTTTCTTCTTTTATTTTTTTGGAGAATTTTTAGAAAATCTTTTGACCTGCTTTGTATTCTTAGAAAAGAGAAATTCATCCTTAAAAGAAAATTTTTTGATGATCGAAAAATTCTCATTTGATCGAAATCGGAGTACTCAAATACTTGCTATGATTTCGCTTATCATCGTTCTTCTTATCATTCGCTTATCATTCTTATGATTTAGCTCTATTTTATGGCTTGAAAACTTGTCAAGAGATCACTTTTTCCACGGAACTATGTGTAGGAATTATGCCAACACGATGCTTATTTCTTAGTGGCCTTTATCATTATGGAGAATTGAATCTAAAATATATCATTCGACACAAAGCAAAACCACTATTAATCTACTTCATTTCCATTAATAGAAGGCAAAATTGAAGGTGTTTGTTGACATATAATTCATGACATTTCATCAGCTATATTTGTTCAATGATTTGCACTGATATTTTTCATTTTTTTGGTAAATTTTTAGAAAATCCATTGAATGCTTTGCATTTTCGTAGCAAAGAAATTCATTCGATTTTTTGATAAAAATTTCTTATCACTGTGGTTAAATGATAAATTATGAATAATAAAATGATTGTACATAGAGAAATTTATATAAAATTTATATTTTCTATAGGTCAGCGGGCAATTTTTTCAAAGGGCCAATCTGCGAGATTATATTATTGTTCCTACTTTTCTTAAATGCAGATCGATATACTCAGTAAGAGTTTTTTAACTTTTTCGAAACTTTATCTATTCGCCCATTTGAATGCCTTCATTGAATATTGGAAGTCATCTTTATCAGAGAAGGAGCTGAGGATTGATTGAAAATGTAAAATTCAGGATCCTATTTTCAATTCTCAGAAACGCTACGAAGAGACTTCCAAACATAAATTTGTATCTCAGAAAAAAATTTGGTAAAACTGATGAAAATATTCACATCGACAGTGGAAAAATTCTATTCCTGTTGTAAGCATTTCTTAATTCAATATCTCATTTTTTTTAGAATCATAATGGAAAGAATAAAATTTAACAAATGAAAAATAACCTACAGGATCCATTAGAAATGCAAGAAAGAAACCGTTTCTAATTATTAATTTGAGGAAAGATTCCTAAAAATATTTTTTATCATATTTTTTTCTAAAAAATCCTCGTTATTACTGGTTAAACTCGCTCCACTGGTTGCGCATTAAGCAACTAGGGAATCCCTTGGCGATAGAAATACAGGTCAGTCGTCAGCATCATTCCTGCATTCAAATCAATCAAATCTCATCATCGGCGCTCCCAATTGAGCAACAATCCGCTGAGTCTTCTATTGCCAATCATTGGATACTGTTTCTAAATATTTCAATTACTAAATGAATTTCGATTGATAAGAATTGCTAACTTTTCAAGCATTTCCTTGAAAACGGTGTGACAACATTTTATTGATTATCAATTTTAAAAGGAAATGAAAAAAAATATTCGGGGGAGTGATGAAAAAACACTTTCATATATCAGTACGATCGCAGCAGATGAACAAACATTCTTACTGATAAACATAATGGATTTCATAGCTTATCATTGGTATCCTTCGAAGAAAGAAAATAAAGTGGGTACAAAAGCACATGCAACGCGTTAAAATTTCATTTTAAAATCTTTTTCCCTGAAATGCTGTTGTATTTTTGCTTTTGGATTTTCCTCATCAATGGTATAAAAGGTGGAGATAATGATATAACAGAATGTAATAAAGCGGTGGGAGGTTTTCAACGACCAACTGTCGAACCAGGCCTATGTGCACACATCGATTTACCTGCCTGTGCTGCTATATTTCCATATCAAGATGCACCAGGGACAATTTTAACTCACAGAAACCCGTATTTTACTTTTCTTGTATATATTATTGCAATCTAGTAAAGTGTATTTTTTAACACTTTAGGTGCCAAAAATAAATTTTAGAATGAATAATAGGTAATAATAATTTGCCTTTAAAATTCTCAGCAATTCAGAGGCGTGAGCTACAAGATACCCGAAAACTGTACGCATGCTTCTCTGAAAGATTTTGCACAAAGAAATTGCCCAAGTCTCTGCGCATTCTGCTGTAAAGCAAAACAATTTAACTGTGCCAATGGTTAGTAAATTCGTTGAATTAGTTCAACGGTTAGAGAGGTTTTTTATTTGACTTTCATTACAGATCCATTCGCAGGCAATCACTGTGAGGCTTTCACATTGGAGATGTGCAGAAATTCGGCTCTCAGGACAATAGCATTAAGGAGTTGTCCCATGAAATGTGGACTTTGTGATCAACCAGGAGCAGGTGGCACCTGCCCAAACACATTTGACGATGCAGTTTGCACAGCACTAGCACCGACGATTTGCCTCGATGAGATAGCGAAGAATTCTTGTCAAAAAACATGTGGATTAAGAACTTGCCTAGGTAAATCATAACTTATTTGTGATTTTGGCCGATGGAACAAATCTGCAGTGAAAAATTATTTGAACTGCTAAGTTGCTGACGATTTTGCATTTCAGAAAATCGAAATGCAACAGCAGCACAATCAAATTGTCGCGACGACGACCAGCAATGTTCAGAAAATAGAAGATACTGCACAATAGAACCTTATGCAACTGTAATGAGAGGTAAATGCCGTTTAACTTGTGGCCATTGTCAGCCATAAGAAAGATTTTCAGGCGGCAAAATTGTTTCGTCAGACTTTGATTTGTGTTAAAATTGGGAAAAATTTATAAAATTATTCGATTAATTAAAGATTTAAATAAAATTTCTTTCTGCAATATTCATTTATTTATTAAACAATTATGCAAGGCAAGAAATGCCTTTCGAATTTATAAATCCAATATGCGATAAATAAAGTGAATAAATTGTTGTGAAAATGATAAAAAATAAAAAAAGCTAATAATAATTTCATATGAATCAAATTATTGGAGATTTTTCATTTTTATGAATAAGCAATAAAATATATATTTGCATTTTAAGAAAATACATGCAAAACATATATTTTTGATGACTTCAAACGACATCGTTTCGCTTTCTGAAATTATTTTATTTTAAATTAAATTTTTTTAAATTATTATTATTATTATAATTATTATAAATTTAAATTTAAATAAAATTTTAAATTTTATTTTAAATTCTCTGTAATTAAGAGAGTTATTAGAAAAAAAATTTTTGCCATTCCACACATTTTGCAATTTAAATACAAAAAATTTATGTAAGAATACAATAAAAAAGCATAAAAAATATTCGAAAAATAAGAAAGTATCAAAAAATATTAATTTTTCATTTTTTCTTATTCGTAGAAGGTACCGAAATGTAAAATCGTTTGCTGTAATCATTTATTATTACTTTTGTGCGGGAAAAATAGGAAAAAAATTGGCAATTTACGAAATCGAAGGAAAAATTATTTTTCAACTTGGAAATATTAATACTTCTTCGAAATATTATTTAAAAATATTTTTATCTCACAACATCTCATTTTTTTTATATATGAGCGCTTTTCAAAAATGTATTTAAATTTAAGGGTAAAAGGGTAAAAATGGAACCCACAAAATCTAATTCGCGGATATTTTATTTAGCATTAATCTCTTGAAGAAATTTTAAAATTATTTATATTTGGATATTGTTTCTAAATACAAAAATTATTGAATGAAACTCCGATACTGATAAGAAAATAAAAATTTTCAATATTATCAATTTTGAAATTAAATAGAAAAATAATAAAAATAAGTAATGGAAAAGACTTTCAAATATCGGTAGAATTCGGTTCGCAGCAGATGAGCAAACATTCTTACTGGCAAACATTGTGGAAAGGTAATTTTATCAAAGAACCTTCCGAAAAAAGTGAAATGCATAAAAAAGCGCATGTCGTATGTTAATATTTCATTGTAAAATATTTTTCCCCGAAATGTTGTTGTATTTTTGTTTCTTCGTTTTTCTCATCCATGGCGTGAAAAGTGGTAACGACAAGGCGATAGAAAACTGCAATAGAGATGTGGGAGGTCATCAACGACCAACTGTCGATCCAAGTCGTTGTGCACACATCGATTCACCTGCTTGTACTGCAATATTTCCATATCATCCTCCCGACCAAGCTGGTGCAACAATCGCAACACACTTCAATCCGTTAGAATTTGTATTTCTAAGAATTTGTATTTGTAATTATTAATATATTTCAATACAATATGAACTTTATTATGCGAAAAAAAACTTTAAGAAAATAATATTTCTTAGTAATTTAGAAACGACGATTACAAAATACCAGAAAAATGTACGAACGCGGATCTTAAAGATTTTGCGGAAAAGAATTGCCCAAGTCATTGTGCATTCTGCTGTAAAGCAAAGCAATTCAACTGTGCTAATGGTGAAAAAATTTTTTCCGTTTTAAACCTTTTTAAGATTATAAATTTCTATTATTTCAGCGATGAAAAGAAAATATTTCCTTCATTCATTACAGATCCATTCGCAGGCGATCACTGTGATGCTTTCACATTGGAGATGTGCAGAAATGCGGCTCTCAATACAATAGCATTAATGAGGTGCCCAATGAGATGCGGGCTTTGTGACCGACCAGGAGCAGGTGGCATCTGCCCAAACACATTTGACGATGCAGTTTGCACAGCGCTGGTAGCGGTGATTTGCCTCGATGAGAAAGCGAAGAATTCTTGTCAAAAAACATGCGGATTAAGAACTTGCCTAGGTTTAAGAATTTAACAAAACTTATGTATGATTTTGGACCAAATTGTGGACCAAATCTGCTATAAAAAAATATTAAATTAATTGAACTGCCAATTGTTTTCATATATAACTTATTATTCCCATGCTCGATAAAAATATAATAAACTACCGCTAAGGATTTAGCATTTCAGAGAACCAAAATGCAACAGCAGCACAATCAAATTGTCGCGACGACGACCAGCAATGTTCAGAAAATAGAAAATACTGCACAATAGAACCTTATGCAACTGTAATGAGAGGAAAATGCCGTTTGACTTGTGGCCATTGTCAGCCATAAAAAAGATTTTCAGTCGGCAAAATTGTCTCTTCAGACTTTGATTTGTGTTAAAATGGGAAAAATTTATAAAATTATTCGATTAATTAAAGATTTAAATAAAATTTCTTTTTGCAATATTCATTTATTTATTAAACAATTATGCAAGGCAAGAAATGCCCTTCGAATTTATTACTCGATAAGTCCAATATGCGATAAATTAAGTGAATGAATTCATATGAAAATGATAATAAATAAAAAAAAGGTAATAATAATTTCATATGAATTAAATTATTGGAGATTTTTCATTTTTATGAATAAATACATGCAAAACATATATTTTTGATGACTTCAAACGATATCGAATCGCTTTCTGAAATTATTTTAAATTAAATTTTTTAAAATTATTATTATTATTATAATTATTATAATATATAAATTTAAATTTAAATAAAATTTTAAATTTTATTTTAAATTCTCTGCAATTAAGAGAATTATTAGAAAAAAAATTTTTGCCATTCCACACATTTTGCAATTTAAATACAAAAAATTTATGTTAAAATAAAATAAAAAAGCATAAAAAATATTCTTCTATAAATAATAATAAGAAAGTATAAATAAGAATGAGAAAAATAAGAAAGTATCAAAAAATATTAATTTTTGATTTTTTCTTATTCGTAGAAGGTACCAAATGTAAAATCGTTTGCTGTAATCATTTATTATTACTTTTGTGCAGGAAAAATAGGAAAAAAATTGGCAATTTACCAAATATAAATCGGAGGAAAAATAATTTTTCAACTTGGAAATATTAACACTTCTTCGAAATATTATTTAAAAATATTTTTATCCCACAACATCTCATTTTTTTTATTTATGAGCGCTTTTCAAAAATGTATTTAAATTTAAAAGGAACCCTCAAAATCTAATTCGCGGATGTTTTATTTAGCGTTAATCTCTTGAAGAAATTTTAAAATTATTTATAATATTTGGATATTGTTTCTAAATACAAAAATTATTGAATGAAACTCCGGTACTGATAAGAAAATAAAAATTTGTTCTCTATGATAAAATTTTAAATATTATCAATTTTGAAATTAAACAGAAAAATAGTTCATAAGTAATGGAAAAGACATTCAAATATCGGTAGAATTCGGTTCGCAGCAGATGAGCAAATATTCTTACTGGCAAACATTGTGGAAAGGTAATTTTATTAAAGCACCTTCCAAAAAAAAGTGAAATGCATAAAAAAGCGCATGTCGTATGTTAATATTTCATTGTAAAATATTTTTCCCCGAAATGTTGTTGAATTTTTGTTTCTTCGTTTTTCTCATCCATGGCGTGAAAAGTGGCGACAAGGAGATAGAAAACTGCAATAGGGAAGTTGGAGGTCGTCAGCGACCAACCGTCGATCCAAGTCGTTGTGCACACATCGATTCACCTGCTTGTATAGCTATATTTCCATATGATGCTGGCGATATTGCTGCAACAATCACATCTCACTTCAATCCGTAGGAATTTGTATTTCTCATATATTACAAAACAGTGTGAATCTTTTATTGTGCAAAAAACGATTTTAAGAGTGCATAAATAATAAATAATATTTCTTAATAATTTAGAAATGAGAACTACAAAATACCAGAAAAATGTACGAACGCGGATCTTAAAGATTTTGCGGAAAAGAATTGCCCAAGTCATTGTGCATTCTGCTGTAAAGCAAAGCAATTCAACTGTGCTAATGGTGAAAAAATTTTTTAAACCGTTTTAAGATTATAAATTTCTATTATTTCAGCGATGAAAAGAAAATATTTCCTTCATTCATTGCAGATCCATTCGCAGGCGATCACTGTGATGCTTTCACATTGGAGATGTGCAGAAATGCGGCTCTCAATACAATAGCATTAATGAGGTGCCCAATGAGATGCGGGCTTTGTGACCGACCAGGAGCAGGTGGCATCTGCCCAAACACATTTGACGATGCAGTTTGCACAGCGCTGGTAGCGGTGATTTGCCTCGATGAGAAAGCGAAGAATTCTTGTCAAAAAACATGCGGATTAAGAACTTGCCTAGGTTTAAGAATTTAACAAAACTTATGTATGATTTTGGACCAAATTATGGACCAAATCTGCTATAAAAAAATATTAAATTAATTGAACTGCCAATTGTTTTCATATATAACTTATTATTCCCATACTCGATAAAAATATAATAATAAATTATCGCTAACGATTTAGCATTTCAGAAAATCAAAATGCAACAGCAGCACAATCAAATTGTCGCGACGACGACCAGCAATGTTCAGAAAATAGAAAATACTGCACAATAGAACCTTATGCAACTGTAATGAGAGGAAAATGCCGTTTAACTTGCGGCCATTGTCAACCATAAAGAAACTTTCCTACATTAAATTGTCTCGTACTTTGATTTGTGTTAAAATGGGAAAAATTTCATAAATGTTGACTTTTAAATAAATTTTCTTTCTGTAATATGGCATTCATG